GTTGGGGTCACCGAACTCATTTTTTAAAAAAACTCGAAAAACTGCGATATTTTCGGCTATTTAGTGTTGCCAGTATTCGTTATAGTTGTCATGGAAACGCGACTTTTATCAGAATTCTTCTTGTCTGTGACACGTCTTACTATGTGTTACAATTATAAGTAAAACTTAACCCTGTAAAAGCATTTAAACAGAAAATATTCAACTTTTGCTCCTTTGGCTAAAAAGTGTATCGAGCCACCTTAATTAAGCATAGGAAATTTCTGTATCTTGTGTGGAATACATTTTATGACAAAAAATATTATCGAAAAAACCTATGTTAACTTTGTACCTCTGCTGTGGCCACTAGATTTATCATACAAAAAAGTTCTATGCTCATTTAAGATAATGATGCCTATACTACTTACTGATAAAATTTCTTAAAATTCCAAGCAATTTATAAGCAGATATCTTTTCTCAAATGCACCCTAGTTTTGCACAGCATGTGGTATGATTGCCGGCCTGGTGTCAGGTTACAAAGGACGTTAGGTACTAGTGATTAGTATTTTTAGTTTCTATAGGTCATAAGCTTTCTACTGATATATAGTTTGTCATAACTCTGGTGAATATCTTTAAAATTACAGCCATTTCAAAAATGGCCCCCCCCCCCCCCCCCCCTTAAGGAAGATGCATGGGTGACTTTGGGACAGAATGATTTTGTTCAATGTCGCTGTTCAGATATCAAACTTTATGGACATATGAACTTCATTGCGGAATCACAGTGACCTTACCGTCACGAATCAGTGATTGCTCCAGTTGGATGAAACAATATGAAATTTAACCCCACTAAAACGAAGGAAATCCAAGTAACCTACGACCCTGCAGCCCTTACTCCGCTTTCTGTTGATGGATATAATATTAGTCCTCAAGTGGACTCTTCATGTTGATTACATTTGCAAGAAAGCAGGCTCTACGAAAGAGATCTTCCATTCCACCGAACAAGTCAGTGCGAGTGTTTAACACGTGCATTAGACCAATCTTAGAGTATTCGTATCTTAGAATACTACAATCTACCCCAGTACCTAAATGATCAGATTGAAGGGATCCAACGCAGGGCTCTACGAACAATCTTCTCAGATAGTTGCTATGGGTGCCGTTGTTTATACGGAGAGAGATGATCTTTAAGAGATTTTTCGAGCGTGTGCGTATTGACATAGCACATAAGTTACATTCCCTTGTCCCTCCAGGTCATCAGACCCCATTTGTGACTAGTGAGCCAGATGAAGTAACAAACAATCAAGGTCCTACTGTATATGTCCATAGATTTTGATATCTGAACAGAATTTTGTTACCTGTCCCTAAGTCATGCATCTTCCTTAATTAAGTTAGGACTTCGAGACCAACGAATATGTTGTCATTCAAGGATTAAAAACAATGAAGACAAGTGGTATTGTCGGACAAACGAAAATATTCATGTCTACAGCCCGGCTGCAACACAATGTTGACACATCCTGAGGTCGTAAGAATTTTATTAAATTTTCTCATAGTTGCAGAACATCGTGCTCTATTGATATATGAAATAAAAGAGATAGGTCACCAACTTCATTTTTCAGATAAAGACTATTTTATGGCTACAAAAAACCGGTTTTATACTTTCGCCATGTTGCCATGGCAACAGTGACACTGTCAAAACCGAGTTCTAAATATTCCACTGACGTTAGATTTTGCCTCCAAGTAGAAAGGAATGCACGATCTCCATTAAGAGAGCCACCTTAAATTGCATATGACATGAAATTTCTTATTTTCTTTAATGAAAGAACTCTTTAAGTTGTAGTGTAACTTATTTTTCAGTTTCTTGTTTTTATGGTTTGTTCCCGAGATATTTCAATTTGTTTGATATGTAAATGAGTGTGAATATGTCCGCTAATTTATGACGTCATGTTGGTTGCAAGCTCAACATACACTGGTTATAAATGTATTAACTCTAAAGACTGTTGATATCAGTTTACGTTTTTCTCCAGTGTTTCATCACATTTACCAGTGATTAAAGTTTGAAATTATCATCTTGGATGATAGCAGTGATATTCAACCATTTTGAAGAGCTTGCAACCAACATGACGTCATAAATTAGCGGACATATTCACACTCATTTACATATCAAACAAACTGAAATATCTCGGGAACAAACCATAAAAACAAGAAACTGAAAAATAAGTTACACTGCAACTTAAAGAGTTCTTTTATCTAAGAAAATAAAAAATTTCATGTCGTATGCACTTTAAGATAATCAACAATCTTGGAACTGAAATTTCAAGTATGCTTGTAAAAGTGAAAAAGTTGTTTTTCGGCTTGATTTCATTTGAGACATAAAGATGTCATACCAAGATAAAAGCGTTTAGACCATATTAAGACTAACAGTATACTAGCGTTTGTAATGTACTTCTCATACATTCTTTTCTTCACAGAATACGCTTGAGCCAATGGACGAAATTGCTGCATTGATAGCAGCTGCTGTTCATGATATCGATCATCCTGGTTTTACAAACTCATTTCTTTGCAATGCATCAGATTCTCTTGCAGTTTTATATAACGACATTGCTGTTTTGGAAAGTCATCATGCTGCATTATCTTTCAAAAAAACTGCCGGAGATGAATCGTCAAATATCTTTAGAGGACTTAGAATGTAAGTGGCCCTCTTTAATATTTATTTTATGCAAGTTAATTGATAACTTTTATAATGCTTACTTATTCGATAGTTACTTATTCTGACTTTTTAGTGATGATTATCGTGCAATTCGACAAAGTATTATTGACATGGTGATGGCTACCGAAATGACCAGACATTTTGAACATCTTTCCAAATTTGTTAACAGTATCAATAAAAGACGGACATCCAGCATTGGTGAAGTCACAACTGTGGTATGTTATATGTTAATTTCGCATTGTATTTATTTTTATATATAAGCTTTGGTATGCAGCTTTCCCATGAACATAATTTTTGGGTTGAGACAATTCTAACTTAGAATTCCATGACTCGATGATTCAATCTTACGATTCAATGCCAGCTATTATGCTGGCTTCATGCAAACAATGGCGTATGTTCATCTTATTATCAGTATCATGCTCCAGTTACTGAAGCTTTCTCGGTTTATCCCCGAGCCAACGAGGCGGAGCGCCGTTCCGGGCGTTAGCCCGGGGCGAGGGTACTAATTCCGCCCGGCTATTTACACCCGGGGAAAGGAAAGCATCATCAATGATCGCGGGCGCGTGACTATGGCTCATGGTGGACCTCATCACTGATCTCAAAAATATGGCTGCCAGGAGTGGGATAAGCACACTGAGGATATTAAAGCAAGATTTCAATTTTCAAAGTCATATATTTGGAAAATCACGTTTCATACAATGAGCCTTGAAGCAATTTTTGTTTGTAGAAATGGGAAGAATTGATTTACTATGTCTATGAAAAATCATGAAATATAGGGCAAGTTTGCATTGAATGTTTAATGTTCATGAATTTTTTTGCTTTAATAATTTATTGCGTAAAACATGTACTTCTGTTTTCCTTTTCAATGAAGCTGTATAAAGTTTCCTAAATTTAATACCTTGTTTAATGAACAAAAAATGTAAAATGTAAAGGAGCAGAAATTACTCAATAATAGCGCTTTAGAATATTTATAGTGTTTAGCGCTTTATAAATTAATAAATTATATTATTTATTTAATAATTTGAAGTAAAAAAGTTTATCGGCAAAAGCAGTTTAGTTATTAAAATGAACATTTCAAAACATTTTACGAAGCGATTAACTCGGCCAAAGAGACTGGGCACAAGTGAATGTCAAGAATAGTGTGCTGCCGAGCTAACGCTCTTAAGGTTAAATTTTACATTAAATCAAAGCTCACAAAATCCAGAACAACATACCTACAGTACATATTTCGGAAATTCATTGTTATATAGTTAAAAGCAATAATTGTTGCGGAACTTGTGATTCCACCGTCTGGTTCATTCAGTAAACGCTCAAGGGACTGTATTTTATAATTGTATTGATTGTAATATGTGAAAGTATACTATTTACAACGTGAGTTTTAGACTGTTAAACATTCCGATTGTCTCGCTACGATCTGATGGCAACAATGACATTCAATCACTCCCTAGCTATTTGATTACCCTACCAAATTACAATGTGTCACTGTGACGTATCAATTTACACATACAAAGACTTATTTACGATTTAACATGAATTACGTCAAGCACAATACTGATATATTACATGAAGTATATTTAAAGTTGAATGAATTGGCGGCACTGCGCTGGGAACCTACGACACCCCACCCACCTTGATTCATAAAGGTCTATGAATCAAGCGCGTCTCGGTCTCGGACGATCATGCAAGACATGCAAGGACCCGTCTGCCTTAGCTATGGGGGAATCCTTTCCCTGCCCATTCCCACCCGGTCGAGCTTGAACCTCCAATGGGAATAACTTCTGTATAGGCCTATTCAAATAGACTGGTCTACCCTTGCCTGCAACCTTTACTTTGGCCCCTCGGACCTCCTTGTCCTTACCTACAATTAACTCTTCTACAACTGCTAACTTCCAACCACATCTCTTTCCTCCTTCTCCGTACACTGTCACTACGTCTCCCTTCTTTACTTCTCTCAATCTACCTCCGTTTTTGCATTTATGGAACTCTCTCAACCCTGTTAGATACTCCTTTTGCCACCTCTTCCAGAAGTGCTCTAACTTTAACGACACATACTTAAATCTCTCCTCACAACTATTCTCGTCTTTAGTAACTTCGTTCTGTGGCATAATATTAATTGCTCTACCATATATTAAGTGTGAAGGAGTTAAGACTTCACCATCAAATTCTTCGTATTCATCAGTCAACGGTCTTGCATTTAATGTACCTTCAACTTCAACTAAAACTGTATTAAGTTCGTCGAACGTTAACCTAGCATTCCCTAAAGTCTTCCTAAGACACCTTTTCACGCTTCGTACCATCCTCTCAAAAACTCCACCCCACCAGGGTGCCCTCTCTAAGTTGAACCTCCAGGTTATTCGCTTCGTCTGTAGCTCGGACTTAACCTTTTGCTGACTATATAGTTCCTAAGAGCTTTCTCTGATGCCTTAAATGTCTTTGCATTGTCTGATACTATCAAACTAGGCGTTCCTCTTCTAGCGGCAAACCTTCTTAAAGAACGTAAAAACGTGTCGGCTGACAAATCTCGTACTAACTCTAAATGTATTGCACGTGTCACACAGCATGAGAACAATGCTACATACACTTTGTTGGAACAATCTGCACAAACCTTTACAAAAAGTGGACCAGCGAAATCAATTCCCACTTTAGAGAATGGTGCTGCCTGTCTGACTCTAAACCCCGGTAAATCTGATACTGGTGCTTCACTGTATGATTTCCCTTCCAGTCTCTTGCAGGTAACGCACTTGCCTACAATTCGCTTAACCAGTTGTCGTCCTTTCACTACCCAGTACTTTGATCGTAGTGTACATAAAGTCGCTCGTACACCACAATGATGTACATCACTGTGTGATTTTCGAACCAATAACTCTGTTAATCTGTGATCCTTTGGCAAGATGATTGGGTATCTGGCACTCAATTCTAATCCGAATTCTTCAATCTGCCTTTGCACCTCAGAATACCTTCTTCCTCCACTAATCTTAAAGAATTACTCAGCTGATCATAATTCTTCTGATCCTTCAGTTCTGTCTGAGCTTTCTTAATCCAAAATCCCTCTGCTTCAACTAGTTCCTCTACACTGAGCTCTCCTCTACGTTTATCAACATTCTTTACTTTAGCTTGAGAATTAAACTTGAATCTAAATACCCATGCTGTCACTCTAAAAAGCTGTTCTGATGTACTGTACTTGTTTAAGTCAATCACAATGGTTGCATGATCTTGCTGGTTAACCTGTACTAACATTGCTACTGGTTTTCTTTCTTCCTCTATCACTTCAGGTCTCTTCACATTACACTTAAATTTAGGCCACTCTTCTTTGGACTTAGAGAGCCAATCTGGCCCCTCCCACCAAAGTTTACTAACTTTCAAATTTGAAGCTAACATCCCCCTTGAACCTATATCTGCAGGGTTTTCTACCCCTGGACAGTGCCCCCAATCCTCTTTGTTTGTGAGTTTCAAAATTTCATTAACTCGATGATGGACAAATTGCTTCCATTCCCCTCTATTCCTTATCCAGTAAAGGGCAGTAATGCTATCAAGCCAGAAACAGGTAAATCTATCTTAACTTGGGTTCCAAGTGCCCCTTTAACTGAGTTCATGAGCTGGGCAAGGAGTCTTGCTGACATCAATTCTAATCTGGGTATGCTTGTCGGTTTTAAAGGCGCTACTCTTGCTTTAGAGGTTAGTAGACGCACATACACTCCTACACTTGTTTGGTAAACAAAATAGATCACGGCACAATATGATTTCTGACTTGCATCACCAAATCCATGCAAGGTACACTCTAAGACCTCCTCCTCTGGGTTATCATATATGCAACGAGGAGTAATTATTTCATTTACTTCTATTAAATCCTTATACCAGACTTCCCATTTCCTAAGTATTTCTCCAGTGAACACCTCATCCCAATCAATTTTTGCCTTGCATACTTCTTGAAACAAGATCTTGGCATAAACAATTATAGGGCTCACTATCCCGATAGGATCAAAAAGACTAGCTAAAACACTTAACAGATTTCTTTTCGTAGGTGATAGAGTTCTTGCTTTTTCACCTGTCTTTGCAACCTCAAACTTTAACTCATCCTTATTGTTATCCCATACTTGACCTAAAACCTTATGGCATTTTGATTCAGTTCCCTTCATTCCTAGAGATAATTTTGCATATGATTCATTCTCATCTATTCTATCGCTCTTCCTGTCCATGGTCTTCTCTTCTAAATCAATCTTATCTTTCAACATTCTACTATTTGTTAACCACTTTCGCATGTTGAAACCTCCCTGTGCCATCCTACGCTTTGTCTTACTGTACAACTCTAATGCCTTTCCTGTACTACCCTCACCACTGACTAGATCATCCACATAAAACCCATCAAGCATTTTTTGTACAAACTCTGGATCTTCTTCAACATATGTAGAGACATGGTGTCTCAAAGTAGCATTGAGCAGGAATGGTGATGAATTTAACCCAAAAACTACTCGGCAAAAACGATAAACTAGTGTCTCCTGGTCTTCATTCTCAACATTCTTCACCCAGAGGAACCTTAAGCTATCTCTATCTGCTCTATCTACTTCCACATTCAGGAATGCTTTCTCAATATCGCCTACTAACGCTACTCTTTTTTCTCTAAACCTTATTAATATACTATACAGCAATGGATTGAGAGATGGTCCAACATGTAAACAGTCATTAAGCGATGTTCCTGATTTTGACTCCTTTGAGGATGCATCATAGACAATACGTAGTTTTGTGGTCACAGCATCCTTGCGAATGACCGCTTGGTGTGGTAAGTAATGCACCTTGTCTGCCTTCTCTAGACTCGATACCTGCTTCAGGTTCCTTCTTCAATCGCCTTAACTGGCTCTTCATTCTCGCTAGACTATTCCCGTAATTGTCTGAAAGCTTGTCATGGCCTTCCTTCCAGGGCAGTTTCACGGAATATCTACTGCCTGTGAAGGTCACGCCATCTAAAAATTCCTCATGAACACTATCCTCGTCAATTATGCCTAACCCTTCCAAACTCCAAAGCCTTTGCACATTACTCTCTAAACTATCATTGTTCCACTCCTGATTACCTATCTGTGCTACAAAATTTACCTGAGCTACTCCAACCCTTTCTATGTCCCTTGCTCTAAGAAGACCTGACAAAACCCAACCTAACTCTGTTTCAACAGCTACTGGATCCTCCGGTCTACCTCGCCTGGTAACACCTGTTTGAAACTGCCAAAGATAATCTGCTCCTATGAGAACGTCTATTTCTAAAACTTCCTGGCTACAAACATCAGAGAACCATGTGCCCTTCAAGTGTTGGTAATCCTTTCGTGCTAATTCTATGTGTGCATTTTGTATACTTGAAATTTCTGGTACTACATAAGCTTCTACAGTTATGACCTTATCCCCATGCAGAGGTTTAAGCTTTAATTCGACCACATCCCTTTGTTCGGACCTGGTACATTTCTGACCGAACGTATTAATGCCTAACAATTCCCGTCTTAAACCCTTGGGATCAACGAGACTAGCTGCTTTCGAAGTCACAAAGGAGCGATGACTTCCCGCGTCAAACAGTACCCGGACCTTAGCCTCCCTTTCTCCCCTTAAAACCCCGCGCGCAGTTTGCAAGGCAACCAGGCCACCAATTCCTACATGCAAATTGGCAGAACTAGATACATTAATTTTAGGGTCTTGTTTAGTTATATCTTTACTTATTTCCTCATGCATAGTTTCTTTGTTGTCATTATCACACAGGGCAACATGATGTGTGCCATTGCATTTCTTACACTTGGTTGATACACTACAATTATTAGCCCTATGGCCTTTATCTAAGCATTTAAAACATCTACCAAACTTACGTGCTAAAGTCTTACGAGTTTTTGGATCCCTTACTCCTGGACAGTCTTCGTGGGCATGTTGTTTCAGACAGAAGGCACAACAGATTTTTCGTTTCTCATTCGCCAAGAGTGCAGCAGCAGTATAAGGGTTCTTTCGCTGACGCTGTTGCTCTCGTTCCATATTTACTATTGCAGTCGTTCCCACGGCATTATGTGCTTCTCTCAGTTCCAATTCTTTTACAAATGCATCCAGCATTTCTTCCATCGACCATTGTAGAAAATCTGTTCCTCTGGTAATCGTCAACCGAAATGATTCCAGTAGTTTCTCGACGATGACTGGAACAACAATACTGGAGTAAGATTCCTCGCTCACCCCCAGTGCTTTCAACGCGCGGTTATGTGCTTCACAGCTATCATATAAATGGCGAAGTCCTCGCGTGTCTCTTTCCTTGAATACCGGCGACAATTGAATCAGTTCGTTCACGTGTGCTCGCTCGCTGGACTGCGCTCTTTTTATCAAATCGTTTCTTTAAGAGTTCTACTGCTGACTTATAATTTGCTTCTGTCAGAGAAAACCCAGCGATTGTTGACTTTGCTGGTTCTTCCAACAGACCGCGTAAATACGCAAATTTATCGACATCAGACAATTGCTCATTGTTATCGATTGAACTTGAAAAGCTGTCCAAAAACTCCTGCCATTGCAAATCTTTCCGTTAAACTTTCTGAGTTCAAGTTTCGGGAGCTTAGCTCGAACGATTTTACCGACTGACATATCGCTGGAGGTTGACAAATGACTCTGATTAAGGCTTGCATCCGCGGCGTTGTGCGTTGTCGACACTGACAATGGCGTGCTTTGTCTCAATTTACACAATTCATCCTCGAGCTCGAGTAATATTCTTTCCAGTTCCGCTATCGCGTTGTCTGAGTCTTCAATTTCTTGCGTTACAAGTTCATCGACGTCTTCCTCTTTCGATGCGCTGATTATGTCGATTATTTGTTCGTCGAATTGTCTTATCGTCTTGATTTTTTCTTTCAAGTTCGTTTGGCTCTGTCGCAACCATAGTATGTCTTTGTCTGGGCTCTCACTTTGAAGCCTTTCAACTATCTTCGCCACAAGCTTTTTAGCTGACGATCTGTGGCCTCCTCTCACTCGTTTCTTCTTGACTAGATCTTCCATCTGACGATTCAAGTCTCGAAACCTCACGCAACTCTATTCTCGACCGCGACGCAAATGTTGACTATTTGCGCGTCCTTTCTTCACAATATTAACAATCCGGCTCGATCGGACCACTGTGTTGCGGAACTTGTGATTCCACCGTCTGGTTCATTCAGTAAACGCTCAAGGGACTGTATTTTATAATTGTATTGATTGTAATATGTGAAAGTATACTATTTACAACGTGAGTTTTAGACTGTTAAACATTCCGATTGTCCCGCTACGATCTGACAGCAACAATGACATTCAATCACTACCTAGCTATTTGATTACCCTACCAAATTACAATGTGTCACTGTGACGTATCAATTTACACATACAAAGACTTATTTACGATTTAACATGAATTACGTCAATCACAATACTGATATATTACATGAAGTATATTTAAAGTTGAATGAATTGGCTGCGCTGCGAACCTACGACAATAATCTTTCAACTATTTTTGCCGTGTTCTACATAAGTACAATAAAAATTTAAATTATCGTGTTGCCATGGCAACACTGACGTAACGCGAGCCTGTGTTCAGTGTTGATCAATTATTAATACTTCATGTTAAATTAATATTTAGTAAATATAGGCGAGGGGTTGCATGTATTTCTAGTTTTGCGAATGAGCTGTGTTTCGGCATGCAATAAACAGAAAGCGTATTAACAATTTCTCGTCAATGGAAAAGCAGTCTCATTGCAAACTTTTGCTATAAAAACCCCGGGACAATGCTGTCGCTGTGCAGTTACTTCATATGCTTTTAACGATTTTGTCTAAAAGTACACACGAGTGACCACGAGTAACTTCTGTGTTTAAAAATCATAAACTAATAATACTATTTTAAACTATTTATTTACAAATTATTGAAAAGCGTTGCCCGGGTATTGGATCGGATCTCTTTTCCGACCGGATTAACTTGCGTGTTGGGCTCTATGCTTGAAATATATTAAAATCCCGCATATATAAGAACTTAGACTTTAAAAACCTGTTAGGCTAAAATATGTTATTTAGACCTCCTTTAAATAAAAACCTGTTAAAATAATGTGTACGGCACCTGAACGATTCAATATCTTGCTTGATAGTGCTTCTAAATCCTTAAATACATATTATGGAAATACTGTGCGCCATATTTATTTACAATAGAACCCAAGCCCAGCAAGCTCTCGCGGCTTTGATCCCACCCTCCCTGTTATTAGTGCAAATTATGGGCGTGACGTAATATTTCGCGTGAGCCTCGAAAGCTTGGGTTCTAATGTAAATAAATATGGCGGAATTTGAAAATATAACAAGGAGGAATTTCGTTTTCGACCAATCAATACATTTGTTGACATTTTCGCTCTAAGCCAATCAGAATGCGTAATTGGTTACTATTTCCGGTAAAAACACACATTTGAACAGAAAATATAGGGTCTTAAATAAAGCTTCCAGGAGGTCAGGATTTTTAATTTTTTGATTAGATTTAACGTGACAAGGAACATTTAGAAATTTTCTAGAAAGTTGCCGCTGGGATTTGCGTTTTATTTCCTAGTTTTAAAGTTATCGGCGTAAAAATAGGTACGCATTGCGTACATGCGGTTAGCCTATAGGATTGTCAATTGTTATAGCGTCATATAGCTGATTTCGTTCAAAATATAATGAACGAAATATCTTGGTTGATTTTTTAACCATTGAACCATAAAATTTTTATTCTTCATTCTTTGTCGTATGAAGCCAAATACCGTATGACATACCCATAATACAGCAACCTTTTTAAAAACAAACCAGAAAAAATTAAATTAACTCTACTATTTCGTTGTAAACGGCTAAAATAAAATTTTAAACCCTTTCTCGCTCAGTCCCATGCCCAAGCATCGTAGGTCGCTAAAAGCTGCCAACCTATAAGGTCCAGGCACACCGGGCGCGATTCGACAACGCGACGCGATTTTTTAGTTTTTGAAAGTTAATACAACAGCCAATGAGAGCAAATCTTAAAAGACATGTAGACCAAATAACGCAAAATGTTAAACGCTTCTAAATACTTGGAAAATTTAAATTAGGATTAAAGTTATCGGTCAGTGAAAATCGAAAAATCGCGTCGCGTTGTCAAATCGCATCCGGTGTGTCTGGACCTTTAGATGTTCATATCTTGAGTTTAGTGCATGCTATGAACACAATAATACCTCCATTTGATTCAGTGAAAAAATCAAATAGTTCCTTACAATAGCTTTAGTCATTATCAACATTGTAGCGATTTATTGCCTCTGAAAGACAAGCGAGATCGTACCTTTCGCTGAACATATAACTTCGGCCACGCTACAGAGGTAATGTGACTCGAATCGGTTTCCGACGAACGGTTTCCGACGTTTCCCGAGTGCTAGGACAGCATTGTTTCGACAATCCGTTTGTATTTCCGGTTGAAGCTCTCACTAAAAATTTAGATATTCTGAAATACCGAAATAAAAGATGCAAATATGTAGATACAAGCTTGAAAATAACACTCTGAATAGAGTTTTGGATTCTGATTCGAACAAGACTAATCTATTACGAAAAAGATATGTTGAAAGGGACCAAAGTTCTGTTCGGCGAAAGGTTATGCACTTATATGCCTTAGTTGGTATTAATACATTGACATTGTTTACATTGTTCGGGAAAATTGTGTGAAATATGGTATCGCATAATTTCTAAAGATCGTAAATCGCCATAATGTTGACATTTTACTAAAACCATCCATAGGGATTGTTCACTGAATTGAACGGTGGTATTTTCATCCACATAGCATGCACTGAACCAAAGATATATGAACCTCCAAAGTAAACCGACGATATGATATGTCCATATCGATCTGCTTTAATTATGCGCAAGTGAACGGCTCTTTCGTATGCGTTTAACTACAAAATTTCATAAACCAACGGCTCTTTCGTATGCCTTTAACTACAAAATTCCATAAACCAACGGCTCTTTCGTATGCCTTTAACTACAAAATTCCATAAACCAACGGCTCTTTCGTATGCCTTTAACTACAAAATTCCATAAACCAACGGCTCTTTCGTATGCCTTTAACTACAAAATTCCATAAACCAACGGCTCTTTCGTATGCCTTTAACTACAAAATTTCATAAACCAACGACTCTTTCGTATGCCTTTAACTACAAAATTCCATAAACCAACGGCTCTTTCGTATGCCTTTAACTACAAAATTTCATAAACCAACGGCTCTTTCGTATGCGTTTAATTAACTACAATATTTCGCACATGCGCAGACTAAAAACTGTCAAACTAAACTTTTTTATGGTTTATAACATAGTGGTTAGCTGCGCATGCGCAGGCTAACCACAAAAAGCTAAAAATTGTTAGATGCAATAATTTAACTATCCTGAACAATATACTAAAAGTCCCCATGGATATATCCTCTTGGAGCGTTTTCCATTATGACAAGGTTTTTTTCGATTTCCCTATTACTCCCATATTGTTAAAAAACGTGAAATTTCAAGTTCACTCATAACAAAAATGACTCGCATCACTAGAAAGACATTTAAACAGTCACCTAAATTTTTCAAGCGGTTTTCGAGTTATTGCTGTTCCAAATGTGAAAAATAGGCCAAAATCTGGCAAAAATCCTGGGTACTAGTCTGACAACACGTTTCCAACAGCTCATAACTCAAGAAGAAATTGCAAAATCAAGGTAGCCGTTCAAATGTCTTATATGCAGTTTTTTGTAAGTTTTCTAATGATGTAACTTATTTTTCCTATAAATGAATCTGAAATTTCACTTTTTTAATAATATAGGAGTTCACTAGGGAAATTGTCATAATGGAGAAAGCTCCAAGAGGATACATGAGGACTTTTAGTATGTTATCAAGGTTGCTGAAGAGAGTGTATCATACGCTAATTTTTGACTTTTTACTAATTTTTTCTGACCTATTCTATTTTGATTGTACTATAAGTTCGAATTTTAGGCAATAAAACGCATATCCCAGTGGCAAATTTTCAGAAAATTTCTTATTTTACCTTGTCACGTTAAATTTAATAAAAAAATTTAAAATCCTGACCCCCTCGAAGCTTTATTTAAGACCCTATATTTTCTGTTGAAATGTATGTTTTTACCAGAAGTGAGCTTTCTGTGCTCGCAGGGAAACTACCTACAATAACCAATTACGCATTCTGATTGGCTTAGAGCGAAATCGTCAACAAATGCGCTGATTGGTCGAGAACGAAATTCTCCCTTGTTTGAAAATATACAGTATTTGCATAACATGTAAATGTATTTATGGATTTAGAAAGACTGTCAAGCAAGATATTGAATAGTTCAGGTGTTTTATTTTAACTTCTATTTAGTTAGAGTGCTATTGTTGTCAAATTGAATTGGTCCTAAAGCCCGTGCTACGAGCAATGGTTTATAACTAAGCAATAGTACTTTCAAGTAGTTGTTTTAGAAGTTTGGGAGGGCGGGGGGAGGCGGGCATGACGTTTATGGGCCTATACTAACCTGTGACAGCGTCTAGGAAGTAGTAACTTTGCACTGTCCTTGGGATCTCCGAGTTCCTTTTTCGGCGTAATATCCATTTGAAAATTTTAATTAAAATACTTTTCTGTTTTTCAGGGTGGTCGTGGTACCCCTGATTCAACTACGTCGTCATTACATACACCTGAAAACCGAACTTTAATAAAGAGAATGTTGATAAAATGTGCAGATATTTCGAACCCTGCTCGGCCAAGGTTTTTGTGTGAAACATGGGCAAAAAGAATAGCAGAAGAATACTTTCTTCAGGTATGTCTGTTCAATTTTTAGTGTATACAAATAATTTTGCAGTACGAATTTCCGCCTCGAGTCGTAATGTGTAGCACCAATTATTAACAAGTACCGGGTATCATACTAATCGCATAGAGGTACCATATGTGGATATTGATGCATGTGCCTTTAAGTGAAATAAATTTGTACTGAACAAATACTGTATCTATATATGTTAATGTAAGTGCAATAATTATTGAAACAAAGCTGTTACCTTGTGTTACATTTATTGCTCTTTGTTGATACTCTTCGATGACGCGCCATTGAATCGCCTTCACTTTCTAAAGGCCGAGACACACCGGACGCGATTCGACAACGCGACGCGATGTGTCCGGTGTGTCGAATCCAGTGGCGCCGTGGCCGGGGGGGGGGGCAGGGGGGAACCTAAACCTAATAAAACACTCCTGCTCTTTATTAAACAGTACATAATACATGGGAGCGCGGAAATCCCAGATTTATTTCGAGTGTTGAACATGATATATCACGAGTGAGCGCAGCGAACGAGTGAGATATCATGTTCAACACGAGAAATAAATCTGGTATTTCCAAGCTCCCATGTATTTTTTTGTTTATTTTATAAACAAAATTCAGTGAAAAACAATAAAACGTCCGTGGCACTGCGTTTTACCACAAATGATATTTTCACACGTAAAAATATCGTATTTTTTACGTGTGTTTAAATACGATTTTTCTCAGTGGCCAAAAACTCTATTTCAAAAACTCATTAATAATTCATGAGGAAAACACAAAGAGAAATCATAAGCGTGTCGTGTCTTTATATGTGATAAAACACGCTTCAAATTTCAACTTGTATTTTCTCAGCTAATACAAAGTTATTTTGGAAAATTATTTCGCCAATGCCGTGATCTAACTGAGACGTTTTTGAAGCTGTTTAATAAACTCGTTCGTGTTTTATCACATATAAAACACTCCGCTACGCGTCGTGTTTTATATGTGATAAAACACTCCTACTCGTTTATTAAACAGTACATAACACTTATGTTTATATAATAAACTGATTTATGTTTTGAAAATATCCATCTCCCATGTCCAAAGAGTCTTGTTCCATTTTCAGGGCTCCAAAATATTTTTAAACATTGTAATTTACATATTTTTAGACAGAGGAAGAGAAAAAGCGTGGGTTACCAGTGGTAATGCCAGTGTTTGACAGAGCCACATGTAACGTTCCGCGTTCTCAGGTAAATGTACACAATATTTGAATAATGGTCTGTTTTTTTTTAACTCGGTTACCTGGTAGACCATGTTCTTGCCTCTGGCAGATTTATGAGTAATAAAGTGTTTTTGAACTTGTAAAAGGTTTCAGTTAAAATAATTATCATATATACAAAGATGCGTTTATGGATTTCAACCGTGCAATTAATGTGTGATTGTCTTTTCTAGGTCTGGTTTATTGACTATTTCGTCAGTGATCTTTATGACGCTTGGGATGGTGAGTTTATACAAAACAAATTGTTGTGTTTCATTTCTTGTGTTGTGATTTCGTATGTATACGTATCAAATTTTGATGGAATAATTCAATGTAGATCTTGCAGGTTATTTGCCACATTAGAAATAATTTTGAAAAGGATGTATTAATAGAAAATTAAATTAACCCATATTTCAAAAAATTGGCATGGTTAATTATACCAAAATGGAGTTGTGGTATAGTGATATTTTTCTGCAATTCTAACTTGAGTTTCTTCATTTAACTTCGATCACTAAAACGTTGGCACATAAACCAGTGTAAATTTAGTTATATGTTCAGTCACTTTGATTGATGATGTTGCAAAATTGTGATATCAATGGCTTCACAATTTCTTTGTGGAAATTTGGGAGGTTAGAGACATTTATATTTGAGTTTGTTCAATCAAATATCAAACTGTAAACGGCAAGGTACTGCATGACTTGGTACAGAAGTGGAGCCCGGAATGATAAGATATTTTATTATACATTTAATATGTATTCTCGTTTCTAATTGGTCAGAAAGCACCGGCTAATTTTCAGTATTCGGCATTTATTACATATTTTCCGCCGATGACGTCATCAGCGTCCAATAATTGTTTTTTTGGATCGAACTTGCATCCAAAAAAATTTATTGGACTCTCGTGCCCAAACCCTTGCGCGGCCAAAAGCTTGAACCTATAAGCGCGCGAAAAAAAACACAAACAATGGCCTACAGCAGATTTGCTTCGCTGAATGAAAGTGAACTCTCCAAATTATTGGCAGATAAGGATAGTGAAAGCACGAAAAAACCCACAAAGGGGTAAATAGAAGTAGAAATAGAATATTTAGCTGACCTTTGACTTTGTGCAAGGTGTTTGATATTCAAACTTCGCATGATATCAAGAATTATTCAGACCTCGGTCTATGTTATCCGCCTCAGCTTCGCTTCGGCAGATAACATTCACCTCGGTCTGAATAATTTTTGATATCATGCTCAGCCTCATCCAATAATTGCTTAATATTTTTTAAGCGAATAATCTCACGTTTTCAATGCAAGGTTGAGACTGAGTAACATTCGCATGATCAAATCATAATGCTAACAAGCCAGTGAGAGGAATCAGTGCTCGCATGTCTACTACGCACGCAGGATTGGGGGGTGGG